TATAATTACTAAATTTACAAAAAGATATAATATAAGCTCTATCTTTTAGATTTAGATAGACTAGTAAGTTTTAATAAGAAGTAGTAATACGAATTTATTATTATTATAGAATATATATTATACTTAATTAAGAGTTTAGAAGTTATATAATTAGCTTCTAGAGATAAAAGCTAGAAATAGAAATAATAGAAGAGTTTATAGTAGCTAAATATACATTTAAAATAAGTATAATAATAAGATTTATAGAAATAAAAATTAATAGATTACTATAGAATCTAGAATATAAGTTTAAAGTGCTAGTAAAGTATTAATATAAAGTAAATATAATAGCCTTTTATAAAATTAAGATATAGCTTTATATATAGTACTAAAAGACTCTATAAAGCTAGTGTAGAATCTTATTAGCTATACGCTTACTTACGTAAGTAATTACGTTATACCTTATACTATATATAATTATTTTACTTCTATCTAAAGTCTTAATATATTATATCTTATACTATATATATTATAATTACTTTTATCTAGAGTATTATATATATATTATAATATTACACCTTATAGTGCGCGTAATTATCTAAAGTTTTAATATCTTTTTATAGCTTACACTACTACACTAAAACGCTAATACGCTATAATTACTTTATCTTAAATAGCTAATTAGATCTTATAGACTTAACTAATTAGCTTTTAAACTTCTATTTTATATTATTTAGCTATAAAGACTCTACTTTATAGAGAATAAGTAGAATAAGATAATCTATAGTAACTTTTGTAATAGCTTTTAGAATAAAAGTCTTAGTAAAAGTTTTTATTAGTTATAATATATATAATTTAGAGAGTAAAGTAAATATTTTATAAGAAAAAACTTTATTAATCTTTAGTATTTAAGATTATATAACTAATAATATAATTAGCTTTATATATACTAGCTAGCTCTAAAAGAATCTTAAAAAAGTATTAATAAAGTTTAAAGTCTACTTATTTAGAAACCTTAGTTATAAATTTAACCTACTATTTGTATTTTAAATAAGTTTTTAAATTCTTAATTTAATATAAGCTATAAAATAAGAATAAAATCAAAAATTAAAATAGAGAATAAAAAGAGTTTATATAGTAGAGTTAAAATTTTAAAAGCTAAGATATTAGTAATTTATTACTTTATAACTTATAGTCTAGTTAACTATAAGCTATAAAACTTATAGTTCTATTATAAATACTTACCTACTATAATATAAGTATATATTAGTATTTAGAAAATAGTTATTTTACTACTTTAAAATCTTAGAAGCTTTAACTACTATATTAGAGATAAGAGTATTAAGAATCTAAGTTTTTATCTTCTTATTATTTATACTTTTAAATATAAACTTTTAAAAGTATATTAATTATATACTAGTAATAAATTTTACTACTTTTACGCTAGCTTATACTTTAAATCTATTAGTTTACTAAAAAAAAAAAAAAAAAAAGTAACTTAAGATTTTAGTAGTTTATTATTTTATAATTTTTTTTTTTTTTTTTTTTTTACTAAGTTTCTTATAATTAATTAGAAAAAGTATTTTAATAATAGTAATAATAAGTATACTTTTGTAATAGATAATAGTAATATAAGCTTATATTTAAAATTTAAAAATAAACTTTCTAAAAGTAGTAATTAAGTTATAAAGCTCTAGAGCTATTAAATTATTAAAACACTTTAAGTTTTTAAAGTAGAAGTAGAAAGAAGTTTTTTTTTCTAAGTTATACTAATAGTTATTAAAAAAAAGTATTAGAAGTATAATATATAAGCTAAAAAGAATAAAATAAAGTAAATTATTAACTTTAGTATAATTAAAAACTAAAGCGTTAATATAATCTATAGAACTAATAATATAACTATAGTTCTATTAGAATAGCTCTATATTTAAAATATAATTACTCTATTATAGTAAAGAACTAATAAAAAGTAGAGTAATAAAACTTACTTAGTAACTCTATATAGTAATCTTAATATAGATATATTTTTTAAATACCTTATACTTACTATATATAACTATAGATTTAAGAAAACTTTTTCTTTAATATTTACTATAGTTTAAATTACGCTATATTTCTTTAGTAATAAATTTAGATAGTTTATAAAGATTAATACTATAGTTTAAAAGAAAGCTTATAATTTTAGTATTTTTTTTTTAATTTCTTTTACTTAGATTATACTTTTTTCTACTAGAAATCTTTTCTTTTAAATTTCTTTTTTGTCTCTATACACAAACATTATTTTAACTAGCTAGTTCTTAATTTTTAATAGTTGTACTAGACTATTTATAAAGAATTTATTCTACTCTAATTATAACTTAACTAAGAAATATTATAGAAAATATTAACTTTAATAATTTAAGTTAATAATTAACTCTTTAGAATATAATATTACTAATACTACTTACTTTTATAGAACTATTATAAATATATTAGCTATTTTTATAGAACTCTTAAGATAAAGCTTAAATACTTTTCTTTTATTAGTATCTAAATATTATATCTTAGTTTAATAAACTTTAATATATAGAAAGTTCTAGATTAGTAGTATATATATATACTATAATTTATAGATTTAAACTTCTATTTAAAATTTAAAATTCTACACTTAAGATCTAATATAGTAGTAAACTCTTCTAAAATAATATAGTTCTTTAATTCTAAAAAATATATACTAGAGGCTCTAATTCTTTAGTCTAGAAAGAATTATATACTTTTTATAATAAGAGTAGACTTTAAAAGCTAAATAAATAAATAAAATTATAAACTTCTCTTTAAGCTTCTTAATAAAGTAGATAGTAGTATTATTAGAAATTTATATAGTTTATAAATAGAAGTATAAATAAAGAAAGTTATATCTCTAGTTTAATATTTATAATAAATATAATAACTATACTAAGTTCTAGACTATCTATCTTTAGTTAAGTAATTATCTTTAATTCTTTATATATTTTTCTTTTAAAACTTTAAGTTTTAATCTAGTTCTAATATATTATAATCTATATATTAGTAGAAATTTCTAGATCTATAGAACTTAGATATATACTTAAAAAGAAAAGGTTAGAAGTTTTACTAATAGCTATAAAAAGTAATATCTTCTTCTTTAATATAGAGTTATTATTTATTATAAATAGTTTTTTATTTATATCTTAGGTTACTTAAATAAGCTAAATATAATTTATAATATAGCTAACTTTAAAAGCTTCTTATTATTTCTCTTATTATATATAATAAACTTAAAAAGAAATTTGTATTATTTTAGATAAACTAAATCTAAGACTTTCTATAACTATTAATTAAGTATAAGCTAGCCTAGACTAGATCTTTTTACTACTAAAAGATACTTATATAGCTAATTATAATCTAAAATAATAGAATTACTATATAGATAATAGTCTATATATTTAATTTTAAATAAGTAATTTCTAAGTTATAATATTCTTAATTAGCTAAGCTACTATTAGAATATAGTATTATAAATATAGTATCTTATTTTATTACGCTATTTATAAAGATAACGTAAAAGATTTTTATATACTTCTAGATTATTATACTAATTATAGAACTTATAATAAATTTAGAAATATTATAATACTACGTACTAAAAGAGTTCTAAGAATATAGCTTCTACTTCTCTAAAAAACTATACAACTATAATAAGTACTATAGAATTTAACTAATTCTTAGAATAGTCTATAGAACTAGCTTTTCTAAAGCTAGCAAAGCGTTTAAGATATATATATTTATATAATATATAATATCTACAAAGTAAATACTAATAGAAAGCGTTATTATTAGTAGTAAAGTTTTTAGGTCTTAGAAATATATCTTAAAATACTATTCTTAGGCTTATAAAACCTCTAGGCAGTTTTGCTCTTAGCTTGTTATATAGGCAGAAGACATTAAACAGATACCTAGGTACTCTGTCTACTAGAAAGTAACGTCGAGAGGCCTAAAAGCTTAGGTAGAGTAGTCTACGATGTGCATCTCTTAAGGCCATAGGTGCTCATGCTATCTGCTGGTCAATCGAGAAGCAATTCTTAACGGAAATCGGCGATTTGGTAATGCCGTACATGCGGCAGAAATGGCAGGCCATGTTTATATTGTAGAAGTCCTCCTGGAAGCTGGGGCTACCTAGGTAATGTCAACATCGAAGGCAGTCACTTCACCTAACACAGCTTTTGAAGCCACTGCATACTATGTCCAAAACAAGGCATTCCCCTTCATGTACAGAGCGGCGCAGATGCGCGTCGTAGCCAACTTTCTCATAAGGCTTTTCACGCAGCAGCTGAAGGTATCGCGCAAGCGCCCATTGTGGCTGGCGGTACTATTGATGTCAGGCGAGACGAACAGCCACCTCTGCTAATCCAGGAGACATTTCGCTTGTGGACGCGCTGCCAGAACGAACCGAGAACTGGACATTGGATGGAAGCCGGAACGGACACGCACGTTCAGAGTCGTTGGAATAAGCTATGCTAGCGCTTTCTTGAAAGGGAAGGCAGCACACTCCATGCAGCTGGGTTGGTTGAGCGAGCAATTGAATACTCACTCTGACAACGCCACCACACGTCTAGAAATGTGACGACCTCATCTAGCAGGCATAAACAGAATCCGCACGTGCTGTCACCTTCCGTACTCAGCTTAGCGCTACGTCTCAGCTGCAAAACAGGCCCCGGGGCCGTGTGATTGGTCAACTTTTGTCCTGATGAGGACTGATGCTGTCTGCACTGCTAACTACTATTGTCGTGTTGTGTCGTTCGTGTACAGGAGCTACCAGCTTAGGAGTAAGTGCACTTGCACAGTAAAATATCATGTGATCTAGCCAACATGGAATAATTGTGTATAAGTACGACGGGTTCCTTGTGATGTGAGTACACACTCTCTCCATCGACATCGAGGCATCACAGGTCGACCGGTTCTTTCAGTCTAGCACACTTGTCTACATAGCGAAGTTCGTACTGTACAGCAAAAACCTGCTCATCATGCGCTTCTTCGCCATTACCACCGCCGGAACGCTCCTGTTCCAAAGCAGCACCATCATGGCCGCCACGGTCGACCTTCAGGTGAGGCTTGCTTGAGCAATCCCGACCTTTCCCACAAAAGCGAATAGCTAACATGCTCCGTTTTCCCTTAAGGCACGAGGCTGCTCCCGCTCTAACACCGGTACACACTGCATCTCCTCCGACCAGGGTACCCAAGACAACGCTCGCGCCGCACTGAAAGACCTCATGAGTCAATGCGGCAACGGCAACCTACCAGGGAACGCCAAACGCGTCTCCAGCAACGCGTACAACGGTATTGTTGCCTACGCCTGCAATGGCTTCTGCCGCACTGGCTACATGCCCTGCCAGGACGCTGAGTGGAGCATCAACCGCGTCATCAACAACTGCAACTTTGGCAAGGGTATGGGATGGGATAGCCAGGAGACAAGGGGCACGTGGTATGGCATTGCGCATGATTGGGACAACCCGTGTGGCTATGGCTACACGGGTCGTGGTGCGACTTACTAGTAAAGATGAGTCGTGGAAGACCGATATGATTCAATCCATAGAACCAGTAATTGGGTGACAAGGTTTTCCAGCCTCAATAGCAGCCTTGCGTCAATCAAGAAATTTGTGCACCACAAATGGCCAGCTCGCAAGATTAGAAATAATCGCGTGCAGATTGCGTACAAGTGAGACAAGTACATAGAGTCGTGCTGCAAGCACATTGCGGCTAACCTGGTTTATGTGGCTTGGGATTACGTACAGGTACTATGCTAAATCAAGACCACGCGGATATTGAGCGCTCATTGCCGGACGACTAAACAAATCTAACCCCATTTCAGAGAGCACAGGGTAGTCAGATGCATGATGAATCCAACACTTCAGAGGATTCTCGACATCCTGATTGGCCTGATTGGCACTAGCCATAAAGTCATCAGACTCAGAGGCCAGTCCTGTGCGAATTCGTCCCGATGTGGTAGACACTGAAGTAGCCGCGGGCCACTGACGACGCTTACGAGTTTGCTAGGAAAGATCAAGCGCAATATCGCTATTAGTAGTGCCATCATCATCATCCTTCTGTGTTGATTCAGCTACATCCACTTCGTAGCTTACGTACACATTCTGACCTACATGCTTTGCCTTCGCGATCCACTTCTCCCCAAGACTCCGTTCGAGCTCGAGATAGGTAAAGTAGTTCGCAGGACTCAGGGCGACTGCGCATCGGTATGCTGGCGTAACATCCGTAAGGGTTTAGCATTCTTCAAGCTTGGTGCAGTAGGTATCAATAGCGTATGAACAGTGGTTGAAAACCTCCCTGGGGTGGTCGTCTGCGACTTTTCAGCATGCTGGAGCTTCTCACAGAGGATACCAACTTGCCGCTAACAAAAGCTCGGGTGACGATGCCGAGATTTGTGTTCTACATAGAGTTTGCGAAAAGACCGGCATATCTACAGTGGAACTATTATTGAAACATGGCAAGTCTTCCTCTTCGAAGGATAAGGAAGGCAGGACATCGCTTCGGATCAGTGTTAGGAAGCCCTCAAAACTAAGAAAATTTGCGAAGCGTGTTCATTATCACGTCGGTCCTTCGTACGATGGAACGATCGTCAATGTACTGCTTAGTGGCAGACTCTCAGACACCGATCTCAGACATCGGAAGATTGAACTACTCGTTATCGGAAGACGATGGGGAAGAGGATCTTCTGAAAGACCACACTGGAGCTGATACCTTGAAAGGAGAGCCGCAATACAACCCCTTTGCAGGAGATATTCGACGAACATAAGCAAAAAATGTAGTCTCTCCACTCCCATGCTGTGTATCTTGAGCGAGATAGCTTAACTTTGTAGGGTGTTTATTTCTTTGGAGAAGAAATACACTGTATCTTAAAACTTAACTTAATTAGACCTTGTGACTAGTAAAGTCAACGTGGCTCTTGGTGCTTCAACAGGTGCGGCTCGAAGTATCTGTTCATGCATGCGCGAAGGATCTAGTGCCAGACCAAGTGGGCCAACGAGTGACGGGGCGGCACGGACGGATGCCTGTCTCCGGAAACGTCATGCCGGCAAATGCAACAAGCACGCAGACGACAAGCGTTTGGTAGGCGATGTCCCAGACGTATTGATCCAACACAGCGGGTGTGGGATTCGCGTTGTTGAACACTCCCGAGGTCCAGTGGGTCGGACGAGCGAAAGACGGTAAAGAGACTGCGGATATCAGGCCTTTGTATCACAACGTAGCTGATCTAAGATCCAAACATCGCGGAAACGACTAAGCGCTGAGCGGTCGGGTGGGAAAACGAGTCATGTGTACTTCGGCGCATGGCGCAATAGGAAGGCAAGAACCCCACCGAACGATGGTTATCGTGCGAAAGGATCGAAGGATTGCAATAGAAGGCTGCCCCGCGCTGCTTTCTTTATCCTTTGACAAACATTGCAGAACAAACACTCATCGCCAGACATGCCAATACCTGTACCAGATATCCTCGAGCGGGTTGCGGCCGCCGGCAGAGGTTACGAAGCCGAGCAAATCGGCTCACGAGAAAGTCTCATCGAGCTTGGTCGAGACCTGGTTGCGGCGCTCGAGATACCCAGTGAATTCCTGCAGAGAAGCTTTTGGGCCGAGGTTCGTGACTGAACCTGCACTGTTACCAGCATACTGATGAGTCTACAGCCGGCATTGTCAGCGCACTGCAAGTTCGCTGTTGAAGTCAAACTCTTCCAGCATCTTAGAGATGCAGGCGATGCCGGAGTTAGTCCGGGCGACCTTGCTCAAAAGACGAGCGTTGACCCCATTCTATTGCAACGGATCATGCGTCACCTAATCGCAATGAAGGTCGTTTCCTTCTCGAACGGTAGATTCCTCGGTACCCGTCTGAGCCACGAACTTGCAGCGGACAACTATCAGAAGAGCATTGACTTCTGCTACGACGTGTCACGACCGTCGTTCAATGGTTTCCCGGAGTATTTCAAGAAGACTGGTTACAGGCTCCCCACGTCGCCTACAGAAGGACCATTGCAGGATGCGCATGGAACAAATTTGCCTTTTTTCCCATGGTTGGTCGCAACGCCTCCTCATCTCGATGAGTTCGACAACTTTATGTCGGTGTATCGCGTGGGTAAGGCGAATTGGTTCGACCCCGGCTTCTACCCGGTCGCAGAACGGTTGATTGATGGCTTTGATCCCAGCTGCAGCGAGGCCCTTCTGGTCGATGTCGGCGGCGGTCGCGGTCACGACGTCCAGCAGTTCGTGACTCAGCACCATTCTCATCCGGGCAAGGTTGTTCTTCAGGATCAAGAGCCAGTCATCGCGGCTATCAAGGATAAGGAAAGGCTTCCTTTTGAGAGTCAGGTCCATGATTTCTATACGCCTCAGCCGATTCAGTCAGCCAGGGCGTACTCACTGCACTCAATTCTGCACGACTGGAATGACAAAGAAGGCGTCAGGATTCTCGAAAGCCTGAAGCCAGCACTGAAGCCCGGCTACTCGCGGGTGCTGCTGAACGAGATTGTGCTTTCGGAAGAGAAGCCTACCATCGCCGCCACCTCTATGGATATGATGATGTTAGCACATCTTTCGGTGCGCGAGAGAACAGAAGCGGAGTGGAAGGCGATAATTGAAAAGGCTGGTCTGAACTTCTTAGCCATCTACAATTACCCCGGGGTTGCTGAGAGTGTTATTGAAGCGGAACTACGGGAATAAGGCGCGGAGCTGCAATGACAAATGGAACGGGGTAATAGATGTCGTGTAATAAGGGAAGTAAGAATGAATAGAGTGCGCTTTTGACGCAAATTGCGGCATAGTCCTCGGCGGGGCTGGTCATTGAGACTGGGAAGTGTAATGACGCGCAATGAGTATGTTGTGTGGCGATGAAGCGCGTAGCGCAGCCCGCTGCCGGAAGGAACTCGGAGCAGCTAGCGCCAACCGAACGTTTAAACACGGCCCAGCTGATTAGTCCGTCGCTCTCGTCCCTGCCACATGTGCGCGCCTCGATAACCAACAAGCACATTGATGTGGTACATTCGAATGGTTTGAATTTCCGATTCGGTCTCTATTTTGGTCCCTCTATGGATGCGCACTTTCTACCCCGACCTTGGCGCTCTGAATATTACCCAGGTACAGAGCCCCTACCCCAAGACCAGGCATCATCACACATCTACTCGCAAAAATAGGCCCCATCACGGCCATGGTACATCAACCATCCGCCCATAGGCCCCCAGCAGTATATGGTACCGTCAGGCCGTTGAATGCCGTCCCCATATTGAGGGTCAACGGGAGGTGAACTCCAAACTGGAAACATGCCGTTGGTATGAGCGAACAGACGCTGGTCATGCTGTACCGTTGCTAGACGCAGCCGCTCTCCAATGCCGCTGAAGCTTCCACTTACTGGACGCGGCCTCCGCGTCTCACGATTGATATGAGACGGCTCACGACCCATGCGTTCCGGTCTACTATCCGCGTTCGTGACAATAGCGCGCTGCGTGTCATTCCGTCCAGTGCTTGTCATTACTGATTGTACAGCAGCGCGAGCAGTGTCCACGTCCCCTTGGTTGAGACGACGTAGTCCTCTGAGCCGACGAATCATGGAGCGAGCTTGCGCAAGGCTATCAAAACGCTGCTCTAACGAATCATTGTCTTCGATGCGACGCTGGCTGTTGAGAGCCGCGTAGATCTCGTCGAGTTGTACATCTAGTGCAGCGAGTTCTTCACTGTAGCCGTCGGTGGGCGAGGGCACTCGAGTATCGCGTGGAGGTAATGCTCCATGGCTGAGGATCGCTTCAGCTGAGTTTGCGCGAGAATGCCCAGGCGAGCGCATGATACTTCGAGGAGTCGGCGAAGACGGTTGTGGACTATAGGGACCGGAGATCGTGGGGTCTCGTGAGACACGATCTGTCCGAACCGTATCTGCAAACCGCACGTTACGTGACGGTGAATTGATACCATGCGCTTGTCCCATGGTCAAAGTGTCAAAGTCGTGCGCCAGACGATCGATCGTCTCACCTCCAGATCGACGCGCAGGAATCTGGCGACTAGCTGTACCCCTATTTCTGATGGTGTTCAGATTCTCCATGGTACCCTGTAAAGCCTCGACGAAACTGGGGATTTGGCGACGCTGACTACTCAGCAGAGACGCAACATGTTCCCGAACTTGATCGCGTTCGCTCGACAATAGCTCTTCGTCCAGCCAGTCAATTGGAATTGGGTGTACGGCATTGATGTTACGATCGCCGTCCAACGGGATGTAATCGGCATTAGCTGCCCTGCTGACAGCCGCTGCAGTACGGTATTGTCCGTAAAGGGTGTGAAGTGTGCGGTTGTGAGAAGCCATCTTGTTGCTGTCGGAGAGGTTGGGCCTGTAGACCTGCAAGTAGCCTGAGAAGAGAATCTGCCCTTGGGACTCGTGTGGAAGGTGGGTTTTGGATGGGTTGATAGCGAGCCGATAACACCGGCCTAACTCCTTCGCAGCTTGTAGATTTTGTTCAAAGCTGTAAGTTTTACCAGGGTTGAAGTAGGAGTAGACAAATCGCTGATAGCTGTGGAGGAGGCGCTCTTTTATAGCTATGGCCGAACGCGGTCGCATAGCCATCAGCAGATCGAGTAATGTCACAATTGAGAGCTTTCACCTCTCCTCAGTGGCTGCAGATGAAGGTAGTAGTAGGGAACTTAGCACGGTTAGTGAAAACATCGAACGTGTGTGAGCCTTCCAGTCTCTCAAGCAACCCGTTGCAGCCACCTTCACCGTGGTCGCGACCCATCGGTCCCGAGGTTTGTCAAAACCGAGTTTTGGTCGCCTCCGGTGATCTTATCGCAGAATCTGCCAGTCGACACCACCCACTTCACAGTCGTTGTAGATTTTGGAAGTTAGTAACCCACTATGCTTTTAAGTGATAGAGCGAAAAACCGATACAGAATTGACATTTTTTCTCTATTTATTGTGCGTGCTACATACGTGTATGCCAAGTCAGAACTGCTATTTCCAAACGCCCCTGAACTGACTGGGATCTAGGAACGGAAATGGCGGCAAATCCGACGACGACGACCTTGACTCCCCGTAAACATCAGGTGCACCTGCCTGCAGAAATTGGTCATACAAGCTATGACCCATTTGACGGCGTCTGTTGTACGCCTCAGCGGCACGGTAGTTAGCAACCTGTTGAAGAACCTCTTGTTGCTGACGCAGAAGCTCCTCGGAGTCCCCGCAGTCAAATTGCGAGAAACGATGGACCATCCGATCGAACTCTTCATCCTCTCGCAAAGGCTCTCGGCGCTCGGTGTCTCGTGTTCCTCCACTACCTTTTGCTTGCTTAGGGCCGTCCAGTGGTAGTTGCTCTTGCTTGGCTGCATCGAGAACGCGCATAGCTTTCTCATGCCTTGTCCGCGCGATGGCAAGCGTTGCAAATCCGAATTTGCGTATCTTTTCGTCGTCGAGGCCTGAGTAGCGCTCTCCTCTGATGTGAACTTTGTCGAGGCATGCCCGTGCGCGGTCTATGCTTTCGATTACGCCCTCTCGGTAACGTGATTGAGTGATGACCTGGTTCAAAGTCCTCATCGACTCGGAAAGATCGTCGTCGATCTTTTGCAGTTCCTGCCTCAGTGAGACAACTTCCGAGGCAGAGGGAAAGCGGGCCGGCACCAAAGACTCAGTTTCCGATGGTGCAGTGGATATGCTCCGCTGTGTCGGGGAAGATCCAGTTGTCCGCGAAGAACCGGTTGTCCGCGAAGAAACCGTTGTGGGCGAACAAACTGTTGATGCTACTTCCGCATCCGCTTCTGACGTCTCCCAAAGATCATCAGCAAGCTCAAGAGCATCCACTACAAGCGCGCGGGAGTCTGATAGGGCGCCCTTGCATTTGCGTTCGAGGACGCGCACCTTCTCGACTGCACTGCGAGCTTTCCGAATGGCGCCGTATAGATCGCGCCGCGCAGCTGAGCTGGCGACGGTCAAAGCAAGCGATTCGAGACTGGCAAGATGCTCTTCTTGAAGCGCCAGTTCGCGGCTTGCAGCGCTGTGCTCCACGACTAAAACGCGTGTCTTCTCGTCGAGCTTTGCGTCCTTGAGGAAGTCGATGTGCCTGCTAGGCTTGCGCATCTTGCTGGAGCTGGATGATCGCGATTCACTGCTACCCTCAGACTGGAAGACCGAGCTTGGCGTACTAACGGAGGACGGAGGATAGCCAGGGGGTACGGTACTCTCCCATTTATCTATATTCCGGCTACGCTCAAGTGCGCCTGACCTTGAGCCGCTGACGACATCGGTGTCAGCCTCCACGTGCATGGAGGAATGTTTGCCCCGGGACTCCTGATGCTCTCTTGCCGTATGGTACGTCCGATTACTGGTCGCATCCGTCGTGGTTGAGTCCGAACTGGTTTTGGGAATGTGGTCCATCTCCTGTTGAACTGTCTTTAATGTGCCCAAAGTTCTTCTCACGGCTTCGACGAGTCCGCTGTCACGGTAATTGTTATTGGATAGCTGGGAAGTGATGTGCTTGTTAACCGCAGCGCGTTCCTGAGAGTGCAAGTCGCGAAGATACGCCTCTGGTATCGGATGGACCACGTTGAACGCCAGCTCAGTCTCTCTGACCGAGATGAACTCTCCGAATGGCGCATCTTCGACAGCAGCGATGCTTTTGTAGCGGCCTCCGATTGTATGGACGGTTCGGGGAGCCATTGCGGTACCGTCTTTGATGGGATTAGGTGCTGGTGTCGTGCACTGGATATTCGCCGATAATTGACAGTACAGGTATCAGGAGAAGCGCGCGCTGTAGAAGTGTGCTCGGTAGAGGTGTGGTATAAGATCTTTTGTAAAGCTGCGGAGAGCGCGCGTTTATATACACATACGAAAGGGGTGTCCAGGCTCCAGCAGTCCTCTAGTTCTCGTCGTGTTTCTTGGCGCATGGTCAATTCTTCCAGTGCGTCATTGGGAGAAGAGGACCTGCTACGATGAACGATGAGAAGCCGTGCGCACTGCTATAGCAATTCTCGTGTGCCTAGCAAGCGCGCACAGACCCGAAACTTGGTGCCCCTGTTACAATCGAGAATGAGATGAGACATATAGTCTGTCGAGTTTAACCATGATGACCTTCGAAAAGGCGGCCGAGCGGATGAGACCAGGCTCCATCCGGTTCCTCTGCGGTACCGATTCGATCACTCCAATAACCTCCTTTCTTGATACAGGTCTTATCCATACTCAGGCGGGGCGTGAAGGCGCTTGAGGCCTTGACTGTATTTTCCATGTGCTCCCATTCATCATAGTCGTGGAAATCGCCGTTCATATAAAACTCTTCTAAGGACTCTGGGAGAAGGGTCCTTACGTCGAAGTCGACATCAATCTGTTCGTAATCCTCCTTTCGGTAATAGCCTTGTTCTAGCGGCTCGTCATGCTCAGGGTCTCCCTCTGTTGCCATGTCGGGGCGAAGCATGCGCCATTGACAGTGGAGTACACGGAGCTTCTGGAACTCTCGGAGAGAAACAATCGCTGGGCCATCCTCAGGAGGTTCACTCTGTCAACTCATATCAGTTCGGAACATTGACGGGGGTTGGTGACTTACATCCGTGTCCTCCTCGCTGAGCATGAGCTCTTCCAACGAGCGGCCGGCGTGTGTAGCAACTGCTCGGATGACTTTCTTTGGTTCGTACCAGCTCGAATCGGACACCAGAGCATCACCACCGTTGTACGTTAGCTTCTTTAGATGCCGAATGTTCGCGAGTATGGTTGCAAGGCCATCCACGTCGAAGACAGAATGTCTGAAGAATAGCTCTTCCACGTTAGAGAACGGAGCAGCACCTGTGGGGAATAAAGTGCGTAGGACGTCCTCGCTAGGCGAACCACCCATTGCTTGCCCTACAAACGTCTTTACCGAAGGGATACTGAGATAAAAACACGCCCAATCAGGAGAGCTGCTTCCTTCGTCCAGAGCGTAACGCACGGCGACCGTCTTGAGATGTTGTAGGGGAAGCTTTGGTGCCATGACCGGGTTCTTGTAACCCCACGCGATCTGCCATACAACAAGCTCCAGACAGTCTTCCATTCCGACTTCTGAATGTCTGATGGTCGTAAGATAAGGTAGATAGTGCAACAGGAGTGCGACTATGGCGTCCTCGTAGCCTGCGTGAATTCGATCTTCGATAGATCCCATCGTGTCGTACGGCCGAGGTGAAAAGTTGAGGGTATAAGAGTATCGTCTCTGCAGATTCAATTCATCTACGCCGAACCCCGGATACAGATCTTGCAGCCCCCTTGCGGCGTCAATGAACAAGGCCTTGTCTTCTTCGGATGGCACAACGCCATGCTTTGGGTGGGAAACATGCAAACTCTCGTTCGCATTCCAATTGTATTGCCGGCTTTCTGGAAGGTTGAGTTCCCTGATGTACCACCCTAGTCGAGGGTTTGCTATTACGTCTCTCAAGGTCTCCCAAAGAAGCGTACGAGCATCGGTCGTGTCGATGACCTTCCATTTCGCAAGTAGTCGTGCATGCTGTCTCAACAAGGATTTGAGTAGTGTCGCATGGTCTTTGCAGGTAAGGGCAAAATTGAGAGTTGAGTCCGGGTCCAAGCTGTCAGCAATGTTTAGCTTGAGCTCCGGTGGCAGCGTAATGAGAGCCATGCTGGTGTCAAGATGGGATGGCTCTCAACGGACACGCCGCATGCCATGCTTTATATCGCGACGAGCAGAGCATCTGGGCGGATTGCTAGAGCTGTACAAGCCTAGCGCAAGGCTGCGACGAGATGCCGTGCTCCTTGGGGAGTGGTGGAACGACGCCGTGGCATGCGTAGCCGGCCCGCCGTCCAGCGCGCATCGCTGCACTGGGGGCCTGACGCCTGCCTGGAGCCCTCGCGGCTTGACTGGCCATCTCAGTTCACGCGCCGGGTTGCAGATCTTTTAAACATGGAATCTTTCATTGAGCAGTGGCACAGACAAGGTGAACAAAGAAGATGCAAACGCGATGGGTCAGAGCAGCCTGCATCGCCCCACGCGCGAAACTGACGCGTCTTGCGGCACGTGGCGCCAACTTCATCACTACCTAGGTACCGTTGCCACTCGCTGTACGAGTTTCATATCTAGACAATTCAACACGTTACTATTCAGCATTCCGTAAACTTAACATGCGCCGCAGTTATGCTACCCATCTATCTTCCGACATATTCGCGCCTTCTCGTCGTCAACAGCGAATTTGGCAGCTAGACCAGCTGCTCCACCAACATCAGGCTTTGCCTCATCGTCACACTCAGACCAGCAAGTCCACCTTGTCTGATCGACCTCTTCGTCGCCATAACCATCCTCATCCTCCACATCGTCCGAAACAGAGAGATGCATGTCTACCACCACATCCTCTTCCCCGATGAGGACTATAAGGGCGTCGGCGACGCTAATCATCTCGAGCATCTCCTCCCGCGCCGTTTCCGCACCTTGCAAGAACTGGTTGGCAAACGCTGAAATCGCTTGTATACCGGGGTGGAGGGATAGTATACCCTGATAGCGACTAGGGGGTCTGAGAGACGAGTCGTCGACCAAGGCGTCAAATTCAGCCTGGACATAGGTTGCGTATACCTTCAGGTTCAGGAGATCTGCTATCGAAGAGGACATTCGCGATGTGTCAATCCACTCCAACCCAAGTGGAGCAGCATGCCTACCAGGTTGGTAACTCTGACGCTGCTCCGGGTTGCGATTAAAGCAGGCGTTGCTGCGGGTGGGCCAGGTAATGGTGTCTGGTGTGAAAGTGACGTGTTTCTTCACTCGAGCCTTCGCGACCTTTGCCCTCGCTACGTCAAACGATGAAAGCTTTCGTTTCACTGCAGGCCTCGGAATGGCTTCTGTCAGTACAGCTGGGTATTTCATTCGCATCTGGGCAATACGTATTGCTTTCGCGGAGCTGTTGGTCGTCCATATACACCCTACGTCGCTTGAATGTTGTTTCTCCCAAGCTTCTTCGTACTTTTCAGAGCACTCTAGAAGCTCCACAAGCTCGACCAAGTGATAGCGCGCCAGGTGCCAACACTGTCTGACTAAAGCGAACTCATTGCGAACGCGCGCTTGCTGCCAAGGGCCGCCACATTTCTGGAATACCTGCGCAATCGCATCAAGGAACTCGAGACACATTTCCACTTCGCAGACCGGGCAATACCCGCCGGTGATGATGTCTGAAGGGTGCAGACCGTGTCCGCACATGGTTGCAGGGTTTCGATTTCGCGAGCGTACCTTGCCGCGCTTGAGCTTGATGCTTTCTTCGTTGGTGCGCCGATGTGCAAGAAACTCGCAATACTCTGTGGCATTTCGAACAATCCCAGGCAGTGATCCCACGCCGTGCTCTTCCTGCCACTTGGTGAAGTGCTGCACATCTTCAGGCGAGAAGAGAATGGCTGCGGGAACGTACTCAGCTATGGAAGAGGGCATGATGTGGAAAGTTGCGCTGGCGTGAATGAGTGAGTATTGGAGGATCGCAAAACATTGCCAGAAAGCCCGTGCTTATTCTCGAGTTTGTTTCCGTCGACTGTTCTGGAAGTGAATGCGCAATAGCGAATGGCAAGTGGAAGATCTACCGAGAACAGGGTGTTTGCACAGTGCGCAGTCATGGGTGTTTGGGTCATTGCGATGAATCATTCAAGAAGAGTCAGGGCACTAACAATGCATTGTAAGATGAAAGTATCAGCTTCGGTCGAGGGCGCTACGTCTACGCCATACCCAATCAGTCATTGTTCGGATCGATGCGCGTCATATCGTAACCATCCACATATCCTCACGTCACAGCCGCCTCAGCAAGACCTTCTAGGGCCTAGGTGTTCTTTGTATACAACTGTGGCGTTGAATCCCTCGCGCCTGAGATCCCAAACCCCTCGCCGTCTTCCTACCTACGCCCATTCCTTTCCGTCCTAGTCGCACCTCCTGCACATTCGTATTTATTCCAGATCTCATTACGACATTCATCCGACATGATCTCTATATGCGACGTCCACCCCTTGTTTTTCATCACGCGAGCCTCTTCTACATCATCTCCTGGAACATTCTCGATATCCCTCGTTGTATACGGAATAACATGCGTAATCTGATCTTTCTCATCAGTCTTCACGAGTAAGTAATCCGCCGTTTTCAGACTTTTCATAAATGTGTCATTCGGCACCTCGTCTTTTCCATCGTGTATACGCGATATCTTATCCCCGATCTCGGGCCACCGAGGATGCAGTTCGGCGATACCCTCATGGTTGGACAAAGCGATGGCATCGATGAGCTCGATGTTCCACGGGCAATCAAACTCCCTGATGATCTTGAGCTGCCGAACGTTGTAGCGGGCGTTGGTCATGTTTGAAGTATTGAGTAGGGTGCTCGACGAGGGTGCTGCGTGTTTTCCCGGTACGTATGCCTTCGTGCTGCGGTGGAAACTTGCACGGGGTCGACTGATTTTGAAGTTCGTGTCGGACGCGAATTGGACACGTTTTGTCTTTGGAGCTTTTGCTTTCGATGAAGGGGCGTGATGATCTGTAGTCGCTCCAGGTAACATTGTTGGAGTGCCGGTGCGGCAGCCTGGATTTGCGATGTCGCCAGTCCTTACACTGGCAGGATACCTCGACATGGCACGCGCAATGGCCACTGCATTGCCTGCTGAGCATGTCTTCCGAGCCGCTTCAACTTCTTCCGGGTGTTCTTGTTCCCAACGACCTTCGTTCTCTGTGTCGTCTCCATAGCGCATCACGAGCTGTGCAAGCTCAAGTCTTCTTTTGTGCCAGATGTGGCAGTAAGCGTCTCGATCGGCAGTACTTTGACCTGTCAGTGGCCTCCAAGGGCCCCCTTTACCATCCCAATCTTTAGTGATGCGCCGAAGTAGATTCAGATAAGCTACGACTCTGCACACTGGGCAGTATTCGTCATCGTAGCTTGTGTTGGGGTGAAGTAGATGTCCACATCTAGCCCCAATGCGGTGACCAATGTTGTCCAAGTTGCTAGCTTTTCCGGGAGAATTGTTGAACGAGAGCGGTGGACGGTCTTCTGCGGCGGACAGTCGCTCTTCGATGTGACTATGGCTGGTATAATCGTCCTGAATTGGGGAGGCGGACTGCGTTACTTGAAGCTTGTCTTGGAGTAAGCTTGCCAACATGGCATTTACTGCTGGCGAACCAGCTGTCATTGCTGGTCACTGTTGTAACTGGGTATGTGTTGACGGACAATGTATGTGGTTCTGGAATGGTTGTACATGAAAGTTATTTGGGAACAAAGAGTCGATTTTGACTTGGCCGCGTTGTCAGCTGCGGGTGAGCGCTTTCGTTCACTGTGACTTTTGCCATCTGTGTACAGCCAACGCAACTGAGTGGCCGGATTCGGAGAGCAGACGACTGACTTCGCACCCAAAACTCTATTCTTTTCACTGTGAAATTGTATATCCCTCCATACCAAATCTTACTGCGCATCCTCATCTAACCCGCACATCTCAACAAAACAATCATCCCTCCACTTCATCAGCCTAGCCATCTTCGGCAAGCCAACATTATTCTTAGGCACAGTCCGCTGCAACTCAAGTATCCACTCATGAGCCTCTGCATCTTCCTTCGCATCATTAACAAACTGAAAAGTCACAGACTTATCCCTCTGATCCTGGTAAAGAACCAACACTTTCGCCCTTGTCCAGTCATCCCCAGTAAGGCTAGAAAACGCGACGCCGCCTTCAGTTAGGTCCTTGTAGATTTTGAAAACCTCATAACCAAGCGGATGGTCCCTGAGAAGTGTTTTGGAGCCGGGAAGCAGCGGTAGACCTGCTCGCATTTGTGCGTGGAAGGAATTGTGTAGGACGTCGATTTCGTCTGCGTTGCGGACGTGGAAGATGGCGTGGACTTTGAAGTTGAGAAGCTGTTCCAATTCGTTGCTCATCAGGCTAGTGTCCAGCCAGGTTCCGATATCTGGTGGGCAACTGTACTTCCCAGCTGAGTACGTGGGGCTTTTGCGCTTCCACTGATGTGTAGCCCGGCCAGGCTCAAAGTTGGTGTCAGGGCTGAAACTTACGGATTTCTTTCGGTGATGCGGCTTGTACGTGGACTGACTTGTCGCAAACATTGTATTGAGGTCAGGCATTTGCACGGCTGGCGCTGGAGAGAGCGAGAGATTATTTCACCCGATTCTCGAAAAGTGTCAGCAATATATAACTTCTCGTGACTTCAACGCATGTGACATTGTGTGTGTGAATGTACAACAAAGGTCAAAGCAATCTAACAGTGTTCTCGAACGCAGGATGATGATGGGAAGCTCAATATAGCAATACTCGACGAAGCACATGTCGACTCAATAGGCATCCAAGGGTTAACCACTCCTCGTTACGCATCTCTCCAAATCTAGGTAAGTGTCGCAAGTGCTGACCATAAGCCAAATCCATAACTCCAGCGCCTTGCATGCTCTTTCCTCCTCACCAGGCGTATCCTACAAAGCATCTCCTGCATCACAACGTCACTAGATTCCATCCTAGGATATTGACATGTTGCTCTACACGGCAGCATAGCCTCCTCTGCTTCCGCCTCCCTGTACAGTCCCCATGACCTTCCTCGCGAAATCCTTCGCAATGTACGGGATGTCGCGGATCGTGTCTCCATGGGGCAAAAGGTCCCATCCGCGCGCTCCGTACCTGT